GACGCAGGTAGGGGCTGTCCGGGGTGTGCGTGAGGGCTGGGGGAGCCTCCGCAGCCTTGGGCGGCTCTGGTTGTTGCCCGCGCGGTCGGGAGGAAGAAATAAAATCTAGACGTCACTTGCACGGGAATCTCTCTTCGCCGCGGGGTGGGTTGACATGAAAATGTAAAACACTCTTTAAGTTGGATTATCGAATTTTTGGATGTGGTTAGAGCTTGTCTTAAGTTTGCTCATTTGCGACGTTCTCGAGGGAGAGAGATTGGTAGGGAAGGGGCGTGTCCTGAGTGTTTCCTTAGGAAGCTGTTTAGGATTCTACACTTTCTTTTTTTGTCAGTGAAAATTGGTGATTTCTCAGGATAACGGTGCCTATAACTCAGATGCGTCTAGTCTGCCTCCCCTCACAAGTCCTTTTGCAAATTCATTTGTGGAAATGAGTTGCCTCAGCTCTAAGATTGGAGGACCTGATAATACTCAGGTCACAGACCTCCACAATCAGCAGGTTGCTGGCTAGTTCTTCCAATGACTTCAGCGATGAAGCTCCGCTTCATCCTTGACGAGGGCACCAGGGGCCTCTAATTTTCTTAAACTAAGTTTAGTTTGTGTGTTATGCACAAGGTCATAACCTAAAGGGAAGTATTTATCAAGGCCTTAGGGGTGTCATGTTTTATGACAAATCCATGAAGATAACAGTCCTTCTCTGTCCCATCTGCAGGGTTTGGGCAGGTTTCTTGCCCATCCCCATACAAGTCATGGATATCCTTTAAGACTGATTTTTTTTTCAATTTGTGCTTATTGCCTGTTTCTAACTAGCACAGGCTCTAGCAGCAATACATGGGAGTGGTGCAGAGTCTTCAGGCCAGTCTAATTAAGTTGCTTGCATTTATAAAGGGTTGTAATGCTGACTGTTCACAAAATCACTTCTAAGGTAAAAATACAGTATTTGCTCAAATTGGCATGTTCAAAAGATACTATATTGATTTTTCACTTTTTTTTTTTTTCTCCTTTTGCAGTTTGTAAAGCCTAATGAGGACAGTGATTATCCTGATATGGCTAAGGAAGCGGGTAATATAATAATTAAAAAGGCATTTTGTTTTGACTGCTTAGACTCTTAAATCTTGCAGTTAATCTTTCTGAAGGTCTTTCCTAACCATAGCAATTATCTGATTCTGTTAAGAAACAAGCTAAAAAGCAACTATGTTTCTCTCCTGTTGTTCAGGAAGTAAATACACTTAAAAGGAAGATTTAAAAACTAATAAAATTGGACAATATCACAAAGTTCAAAACTGACCTCTTCACCTCACTGCTTTACATTGCTAAAGTCAAAAGGACAGCTTAAACTTGGACAATTAAAATCATTTTGTATGTGCATATATTATTTAAAGATACTTTCACGAGGACTAACAACCTTTGTGCGTGAACACAAAATTAACTACAAAAGGACAGCTTAAACTTGGACAATTTAAATCATTTTGTATCTGCATATATTATTTAAAGATACTTTCATGAGGACTAATAGCCTTTGTGCGTGAACACAAAATTAACTGGATGAAAACTTTTTGATGAAGAAACTTGGTCAGAGCTCACAGTTCTGCAAAATTGTCCTTCCTGTGAGAGTTAGGATACAGGACTATATTGCATGGCCTAATAAATTCTTAAAGCTGTGTGGACAGTGATTTAAAAAATATGAAATTAGGTATACTTGTGGTAATTGTGACAGCCAGTTTATTTGTGTTTTAACTTTTTAAGGCCAGAAGGCTTTAGCTGACGCTGGCATTCCTTATTCAGCAGTGGAGCAAGCATGTGTGGGTTATGTGTTTGGTAAGTAACACCATTTGTTTAGGATGTGAATTTGCAGATGCTTGTGACCATAAAGTGTGGATAACTGTATGGGGATCTTGCTAGTTTCAAGGGTCCTTTGTAGGTTTTTACTCAATCACGTGTCAGTCTGTAGAATTTTCTTTCTTTTTTTTTTTTTTTTTTTTTTTTTTTTTTTTTTTTTTTTTTTTTTTTTTTGTGGTATATATATA